CGTAGTACGAAAGTACACTGCAATCACTTAAACCGCGTCCAGGTAGAAAGGACAAGGGCGCTTTTGTTCTTGTGGCATTTATAACTTTATATAAAAGTCGGTATTAGAGAATGCAGGCTGGAGAAGCAATGACTGCGCAATTACAAAACTTCCAAATTAAGTAGCTTGCACAGTCAGCACACATGTCCGCATTTGTTGCAAGAATGGGCTGGCCAGTAGCGTATGTTACGCTGAATGGTGAGATTTGCAATGCAAATTTTGCAAGGGACTTAATACTTACTCAGACTTTCGGCGCGCCGTGTCTGTCACTAGAGAACGCTCATTATATGCCTAATTCCTAGTCGCAGGTAGGGCTGTCGCCCAGATGGGGCAAATGAAAACCGCGGTTACCACAAGGACTCCTTCGAAAATTATCTAAGGGTCTGCAGGATCCATATTCCTCCTGATAAGTTAAAACAAACTCGCGGTGTCCGCCGGGACAAATAATTAGATTGAAAATGCGTGAAGTGATCGCCATGAGAATTGGTTGAGAGCTATTTCCCACTGCGGTGGTAAGGTGGTGCTGTTGAGCGTCAACGAATGATGGAGCGCCAGAAGTAATCGCACCGGTTGTAGGAGTGGGTGAAATTAAGATAGTTGTCGTCGTGAGGGCTGTGTCAGGAGTGATGTAGGGGACAGTGATCGACGGCGTAGAGTTTCAGGTGTATAACAGCCAGAAGTGAGGGTGGTCTTCATCCTAAGCGCCGTGGCGAATAAGACAGGGCTTTATGTCGGAGTGTTTGCGGGTGCAGTTGACGAGATTCTTAGGTTGGTGGCGCACTGAGTCAGGAGACTTCTAATGAGACCCATTAGCAAATTGAATAGTTGTTGTAACAGAGATCATTTTTGAAATGGATTCAGTGTTGGTTTTGTGAATTAAAGGCGCCCGTGGCTTGCTAGTCTCCCTTTTGGCTTTTTTAGTGCCTATAGCTACGTCAGTTTTCACTCTTCCGCTGCGTGCAGGGCAGTTCTCTCCAACAGATGAGTAAACGCTTATGTGTTCTTGAGGGTGTACCTGCAGCCTATCCTCGCGCTTCTGAGAAATGTCGTGCCCGTTCCAATGTACTGCGCTTAACTTGAGATTATTATTTACTTTTAGGCCCACAAGCGGCTGGAAGTACAAAATGCAGTAGCCCTTAACATTACCCACGAGAATTTTTGGGTAGGGATCTGAGAAGCTTCTTGATTAATGTTCCTCATTCATTGTGAGCATAGATCCGTAATACACAACTGGAGAGGCAATTAGGATTAAAATTGAATTCAGAATTACTTTAAGTGAGCACGCAGCCCTATTCGAGCCCAAGGCCTAAAAATACCCACTACAGTAGCATAATTATGTTTTAGTTAAGTTCCCGACAATCAAGCAACATACGTTTAGATATACATTTTAAATACCTTTAACGAGTACACACGGGAATTCTGCAACCAGCAGGACCACCAAACTCCAGGATCAAACCTATATTACTACACCACACCCGTTTTTTTCTAGCAGACGGCTTTCGTTATTTCAAATTATTTCCCACCATGGGGTCTCAAAGCAAACCTAGTGGTCTTATTGCACACATTTGACCAATAATAAGAAGGTTCGTAAAAGTTGAAGATGAGCCCCTTTTCTGCAGCATGGGTTGCTCCCTCTGATCTCGGGTCTACTGTTCTTATGGCCATAGATTACTAATCTATTCGCTCTTGTGGCTTTCGCCACTTTCTTCGGCACAGTTGCACATCCTGCAGCTGCACTGAAGTCGATAGACGACGCCTGACTTCTTCTGCTTAGGTAAAGCTCCTTTCGTCGCATTTCTTGTCGCCGGATTTTGGAGGTAGGCCTGTGGGCAACTCCCATTTCGAGAGGCACGAAGGATCTAGCCACGATCTCGGCGGCCCCTTTTATGTACGGGATGCTCGCCACGAAATTAGTTGACAACTCTCATCGGTCCGCGTTTGAGATGACATTCGATTCTGTTTAATGAACGTTCCTGCAGGAGCTTTTTGTCGTCCCGTTTGGCAGCTGGCGAGCTGCATTGTGTTTCTACCCCTAAGTATAGCGTGCATTTACAACTTCTTTTGTGTTTTGCAGCGGGTAGTTGCTGCTGTAACTCGCAATTTGCGATATGTCTGTCGGTTTACGGTAGACAGACGTCGCAATTTTGCCGGCTGGTTGGCGGCAGACGAGAACGTCCAGGAATGGAAGTTAAGTTGCTGGCAAGGAAGTCGTGGGTACACCTTAAATGCTTACATGAGGAAACTCTGCACCCAGCGCGGGTAATTACCCCGCCCCGTTAGTCTTCAAAAAACTTCGCTCGCTATTTAACATGCTTTGTCTGCATGATCTCTTAAAGCACGCCTTTTGGTCTTATTGCTCTCAGTCAGCACTACTAAGCTTTCCGCATTTCATGGAAGCAACCTTTATATTAATACGCGCAATCGTTTGCCTGTCCCTGGTTTCATCATCATATCGCGCATTCGCTTCCTTTGACAGCTCGTGCAAGACTAGCCCTACCTGGAATTGTTTTATAAGTTATCTTCTACGGAAGTGGAACTAATATGGACTTTTGAAAAAATGATAAATGATAACTGTGGATTTGGTGTGCCTCAGAAATTAGTAGGCGTTTACCTTTGGGGTATGCAACTACGTAGTAATTAACTCCTTGTATAAGAGCTACATACCTGTTACCTTTCGGTGTCCTATAGGTGGGTCGGACCTGGTGGAACGTTTGTGGCACTATTTCGCTCAAGGAAATTTAAGCAAGCGAAGGCTACGGAGGAGCTGTAATCAGAGGAACGACAGCGTTTCCGAACATTCAGCGTACGTAGGTAGCATGGGGCGTTATCCGTACAGTACCGCACGCTAGGCGCCAACCCGCTTAAGACCGTGTGTGATAAGAAACATGGGACGGTAGTCAGGCCCACGAGTGGTTCCAGTTACCGAAAGATTAGGGGATAGGTTGTGCACAAAAGGCTATAATAAGTCCCACGCGTTGTGTGATTAATAGCATGGGGGGCGTTTAGTTGGCCAAACGAATAGCATGGCTAAGGTGGTCTGCATGTACTTCCATGCCCCCTGTTGCTAATCCCTTGCATACGATTTTTCTTATACCGCGTCGCATTTAGTCCAGACCATTCGCGAAGCAACTAGCTAGGCGATGCCTGTGTCCATACTAACGATTTACATACATAATCAGCTGCCAAACTCGTACAATAAATAACATTTTCACGTGCGTTTTCGGGAAAATGTATTTTAATTTATGAGCGCAACGAAAATAATTAAGAAAAACGCATTCTTATTAAGTAGGGGGTTTTTTAAAGGGAATAATTTTCGCAGGCACTCAGCAAAAAAACCCCTCCAAAATCCAGAAACCTGACGGGACCGAAATTTCTTACGATTAAGCTGAGTGCTAATTTATAGAACTCTCCTTCTGGAGATGTTTATTCGAATCAAACCATCACACCCTCGCTCACAGACACTTCACTATAAACGATTGAGCAATCAAGTTCTGCTGGGCATTCTGTGCGCAGATGTGCATTTTACCGGTTCATCCAGCTGATGATCGATGGTGATCTCTCCGAGCATCCCATAGATGGAGTCTGTTTGGAGACCGCTACCAGACTGTTTATCGCTTACATTGGGATTGAAATGTGTTTAGGTACGATCAGAGTTAAGGTTGTTGTATATAGGGTTTTGAGTGTAAAGAGAATATCTAAGACGGCTTCAGAGTTATAGTGCTCATATAGACAAAGTTTTTCCGGAGAATTTTGCAGAAGTTACATTTTTCTAGACTAATGTAAGGCCAACGCTTTAAGAGACTATCATTTCGTCATATTTCGTATCAGATGCATTTATTTTTCTCCCCCTTTCCGACGAACAGTTTTGAGTTGGTGATTGATTAACCTGTATAAGACAGGTTTATATGCCGTGTAAGTTAAGTTTCCTGCTGTCGTATCTGCTCCATTGGCAGATTTTGTTTCCTCAGCCAATCGGACAAAAGGGGTAAACATTGTACCACTAGGTCACTTTTTTTCTAAAATTGTACGCTAATTTAGGTGCAAATTTTTCTGCATATACATATTTGCATGTGGAGTATATTTTCTTTCTCATGAAATGTCCACTAAAATTCCAAAGGCCATGGCTTTTAACAGCCCCTGATAGTGTATGAACGAGATCGTTTATATATAGAGGACGAGTGTGCTAGTGAACTTAAGTTACGGGTTGGCCATAATCGACCGGATTCTCTTTCTCCTTTTCCAGGTAGAAGTAGTCTGTCTGTACCAATCAGTCATCTGATGCAAGCATTGAATTCAATTGACTAGCGTCGCGTGAGACTGCACCTAAGGCTGCTACTACACTCGCATGTGTGGTGGTGGTTGTTATGACGACGCATCCCTATTCACGCTTACCGGGTCCTAATCTGGTGCCCATGCTAATCCAGCGCATGCACCATGTTGTAAAGAAGAAGTAGACGCGATATCTGAAATGGCGATTCTATTCCCCTGAACTTTGGGCTCCACACGAGGAGCCATCGTCAGAGAAAATGAGAAAACAGCAAACGTTAACTACGCGTAAATAGGGGGGAGGGGGAATGACACTTGTGATTGGTCCATTCCCTCGCCACGTCCATGCTCACACCATTTATCGTGTCTCCCCTGCGCGAGCCCCTGGAATTATGGCGTGTGACCTTGACGTGGCAGCCTGCGTGGTTAGACAGGAACTGGGCCGTGATGTTCATAGGGGGAGGGGGCATACCACACATATTCACACTTACAATTCTGATAAACAAGTGTCCTCTTTAACGTTAACTTCAATCACTGCAAGCAAAAGGCGTTTGGTGGGGCAATGTGTTATTACCTCCTTCGTTTTTTAGCTCAATCGAAAAGATCCAGTTAACGTTATGAGATACTTCGCAGTAGCAAAATGACAAGTCCAAGTACCAAATTAGAAGACATGAATTCTTTCGAAATGGGTCTTAGAAATTGCTGTTGGACTGATTTTCCATAAAATACGATTTATTTGTTCAGGGTCCGAACATAGTATCTACATATAGATGCTCTTTAAGGGGCACGGCTTAAAGCTGTCATGCTACCTTACAAAAGTTGACACATAATTATCCGGCATGCCAACGAGGTCAGCAACAACGCGGGATGCCTAAATTTTTTAAGTTACTCAACAACTCAGTGAAGGATTCTAAAGCCTAAGCTGGGGTTTACTCATAAAGTTGACTAAGTGCATACTTTACATAACACTACCTCTTGCAAGATATTTAATTAAAATGGATAGCAAAAGGATAACGTTAACATTTACTTTTTTCTAGCTGCTTTAGGTACTTTTTAATCCATAAACATAGGTTTCGTGAGAGTCTGAAATCGCCCTTCTGATTTCCTTCATTGACTGTGTATTTTAATCGATGCACGTGGACTGGTCTCCAATTAATTAGAGACATTTCGTCACTTTATGTATATGTCGTGCGTTACTTCGTTCCCGCTAAGTTAACGACATCTAGAGATTGACACTGAGAAAGTTAGTTCGAGTTGATGAAACCGTGTATAGCAACTGGGAATTATTTATCTGAACCTAACATAGCCCAGAGACTAAAAAAATGAAGACCCATATCTGCTACTGCTATCTGACTATGTCTCTGGTGACGAATCCGCGACGGATCTCGAAACATCAGGCGACATCAGTATTGTCCCAGCGATCGAGTGGTCTTACTCTCAAATGAAGACACATTACTGCCAGTAAAACTAATGAGAGGTGAGAATGGATCGAAAACATTGCGCTTTATGTACTTTGAGTTTAAAAAACGCCATTTTTGTGTGGTAATTGATAGTCTTTCATTGGCATTTGCTCACCCCTCAGGACTATTCCCAAAATCAACTCGTCCTACTGTGGAATACCAAAACCGACTCCCAAACTTCCTTAAGCAGTCGATCGACAGCAGATTCGGAGACCGTGCGCCTTTGCGCACCAAAGAATCCCATTGGCCCCGCGCGTGAAATTCGTCCTGCCCCCGGGCAGACTTTCTGCAAGACAGGAAACTCCACTGCGGTGGCACCTCCTTCTTCCTCCTCCTCCACCTCCTCTTCCTCTTCTGATCAAGTCAAGTGTCTCATTCTCAACGCTCTCCAGGCCAGAAGCCAGAGCTCAGGAGAGGAGATCCGAGCTATTGGTTTTACTGACCCAAGGGCTTCCTGCAAGTCCCTCCAAGGTCACTGGCTAGGCGGCAACGGGGACAATCCAACCGCTACGGCTCCGCTATCTGCCCCCCACTCTCAGCGCGCCTATAGTACCGGTGCCAAGTCTGACTTCGTAAACCCTCCCCCTTCATCATCTGCGACCTCGATGATGATTGTCAACCCTCCGCTCTCGCTGCAGTCCCCGCCAGCGACCCAGCGCATAATGCCCACACCGAATAACTTTTCATCACTCGCGTCAACGAGGAAATTGTCTCTGGTAAGTCGTCGATTACTTGCAGCTTAGGCTATTTATGGACTCTGACTGTTTGTATGGTTCGAGTTTCATCCGCCGTATATAGGCCGCCTCCTGGAAGCACATGGCACGGGCTGTTCGCGTGATGGCAACGGCACTTGGCAGCTAGATTTATAAAGCACGTGCCTAGACGGACGTTAGAGCAGGAAAATGGAAGTCCGTCCTTTTCCATTCCGAAGGATTTCTCGAAAGGAGTGATTGTCGACAGCAGAAAGTTGCCCAAGTCCAATGGCAGGCAAGATCGATTAGGTAGGAGAGTGTACTGTAAGGAAGGAGATAACCAATGGGTTAAGCAGTAGAATTGTTGCACGCAGTTTCCTCAAGCAGTTGTTCTGTGTCCTGCGCCTGTGTGCGCGCGGCTTACATAATCCCGAGACATGTCCTGCAGCCAATCAGGAAACGGCGCACACTGAGTTCACGAGACTATTGGTCAAGCGGCGAGTTATCCACCTGATCCAGAGCCAGGCAAGAGGACAATGCTAGCGGTTCCGGCGGTCAGTTGGCAAGAACGTGTGATGGACCAGCCGCGCAATGCGAAATTATCACGAGGCCTGCCATCAGAAGAAAAGAAAATTGAGTGAGCGAAGGCGGCGCTGATCTCATGATCACCACAAATTTGCTTGATAGGGGGTCATTCTGTGAACCACAAACTTCCTTTCAAGGAATACTTGTTCGGGCACAAACGACTCGTACATTGCGCTACCTGGAAGCGACCTACATACGGCGGGTGTGGCTATTATTTGGGCTGTTTTTTTAGGCAAAATGTTGCCATCAAAGGCTCGTCGTTGGATCTCGTTGCAGAAAACGTCCTTTTGAGGAGAGATAGCGCGAAGCTTAGAAGCCTAACCAGTGCGTAGGTGAAAATATTATAGTAGGTTGTTGGGGAGGTACTGATTGACTTCAGAAATTTATTCGTGTAAAATTTAAAACTGTCCAGGTTTCACTTGGTCAAAGTATGGTCTCTGAACATCAAAACATTTCTGCAATCGACAAATATGATCATGCATATATCTTTGATTACCGTTTACTTTTCTGATGTTAAGAAATCCGGTGTTCATGTCTGTTTAAGTCTTTCTAGTTATGCGCCTTGAAAGCATCCAGATGCTGTATAAATGATAGACAGTGGGGGAAACATCGGTAAAATATTCAAGATGTAGCGAAGTCTCGTATTATAAATCACTGCGTTCCTGCGGCGTCACCCTGACAATATATAGCCGTACACTGTCGTGGAGCAGAATTGAGTCGCGTCGATTCACTACTGCAGTTCTCATTGTTCCCAAATAAAAATATGCACTTAGTCACCAGCATGCCACTGCCCTTATTGTTTACGGTTATCATAAAGGATCTACTTTGACATAAAATTCATTGGTTGGTCAAAATGGGATAATTATAGTTTCACAGAGAAAGCATCGAGCACAGTTTAAAACGCTGAACACTTTGACCTATTTGTCGAGTTATGCGCTTGATTCATTTGCTGTAGATAGTCAGACATCCTTGAAATACTGATGTCTAGTGTATCAGACATTCCTCTGGAAGATGAAGGCTTTTCGATCACTAAACTCAATTTTATTCTTCCGAGCTTTCAGCCTCTTGCGGGAGTCCACTGTCAGAGATAAACTGTCAATCGTATTGAAGGCAGTCATTGCCAGTGCGAAATGTCTGAAACTTCCATTATTTTAACCTATAACCTGTCAGCCATTCTCCCTATAATCTGTTGATATTGGCAGTTGTTATGGAAGCTCTAGTACCGAAGTTGAACCCATGCAAAAAGGAACCGCAGTTATGATTTCTTCATGATTATATGCTCCAAACTGTAAAACAGTAATAAAAGGTAAATATCAATCAGTAAGCATTACGCTTTGTGCAAAACACTGTAAAAACCGCAATTCATTTCAATGGTTTAAAATGAGTGCAGCGAACTAGTATATTCCGAACAACCGAATACATTCCAAATTACTAGCGTTTAGCAGCCTTTCAAATGGGTATCCTCTAACCGGGCCATTTGCCAGCGAACGCCAACTTCTCCCGTGAGAAACTAACGCGTGTTGCGCTACAACCGCAGAAGTCTGACCAAGCTGTCTTCCCAGCTAAGTTGTTTGGACGGGGTCATGTGGGCAACAGAAGTTGCTTTGAAAAAAACTGAGGTTCCCATAGGTGTCGAAAAGATTAACCCAGTTGAAAATCAGGTTAATCAGTTTAATTAACGGTTACCCAAATTAAATTCCGTCGAGACAAACAAATTTACGACACGCACACGCGCCCACAAGGTCGATACAGTGAGTAGCATAACGCTTTTACCAAAATTCTGAAATAACTTGCTAATTAGGAAGGACTGCATAGGTGGGCTTCTGGCATTGACCATCCTGCGACATTGACCCACGATATTTGAGACAGGCCGGCTTTTGAATTCACACCCTCCCTGTTGCATACGCCAACCGCACTAGGTGAACAATAAGTTTTCTAACTAGCATGCGGTGCTTCCATTGCCTTCCGATGCCTTGATAAAGGAAAATAATGCCTAAAGAAAACATGAGCATAAAACATGCTTTCTGGTATTCATTTGATAGTTAATCACGACGCTTTCAAATTCTGTACTCAAAGAACGGCCATAAGTGGTTTCTTGGTGTGGTAGTGTTGGGATCACGCAATGCTTATGGAGTTGCATCCTATTCCTCCGTTTCCTATTACCCTTCATGCAGTTTACAGCACACTTTATCTCCGCCGCAAATGTCTCTAAACACTATCTTACACCTTCCTAATGAGGTGTGGGAGTAGATGATTTTTCTTAAACGGAGATTATATGAATAACATACGTAAAAACTCCTAACATAACTGTAATGACAGAGTAGGTTCAAAAAGTCCAGGAATTAAAAAACCTTAGATTTATACATGCCCTTCTTTTAAATATACAATTTGGGAAAATGTTATTTGCCATAAAATTAGTACAGATTAGGATAAATTTGCCTAGATTTTCCATAAAATATATTTGAATCGGCAATAGCTTCACTCTTCAGGGGGTAACGATGTAAACGACCTAACTGGTTCCTTTTTTCTTCCGAGAGTGGTTTTTGCTATTGCCGATAGGACTTGCAATCCAAAGCCGGCATCCTGGAGTGTCCAAAGTAATTTTGAGTTTATTCGGCAGGAAAAAAACTATAAAAGCCTTCTTAGCCAAAAACCATCCCAGATCTTTTGGTAACTGAACATAAGAGTTTTTTGGGTCGAACAGATGGGTACCATCAACCTAAATAATAAGCAAAGGAATGTGTCAGCTACATACTGCCCATTATTACATACTGCTCTCTCTTACGTCATAGACTCTCGATGGCTTCAGCCCACGCATACGGCACATAGGCTTTGGGTTGTCTGGAGGCCTGCCTAAGCCCTGGGGGGCAAGTCAGTCGTTACTTAGAACAGCTGAATGGAAAAAAATAATTCGATTTTTGACTGGAAGGCGGATGTCTACATTCCTCCCACATCCTGACCAACCTCTTGCCGCATCACGTTCGGGTTGTAGAGTGCGTCAGGTGATACGCCATGCTGTGTGCTATATCGGCGCTAATTGTACTATCATGATTGGCCTCTGGGCTTTTTGGCCCTTTGACAAAGGATTCAGAGAGCGTATTATTTGCATCTTTGACAACTGATTAATTTCGAGCTGGTACTCTCTTCCATGATCCGCCAATTGTTCAAGCACCACTTTGCAAGGATTAATGATAACTGGCGACCTTCGAAATGTCGAGGGATTTCTGCGCCTCTGAATGGATGTTGGTGGGCGGCAGGAGAGACGGCGCCCATGGGGTAAGGATTCAGTATACGCACCACCATTGTAACAAAAAACCCTCGTGTGTGTGTAATACGGGGCCGATGACAATAGGGGTTGTAATGGTGAGACACATCAAGAGAGAGAAAAAGAAATTTAAAAAGAACAACTTATAAAAGAAGAAAATAAAAGGGACAATTATTTTAAAAACCTAATTTTTGGCAACAAGAAAAGCGCGTGATAAATAAAAGGACAAATAGAGCCAAAGGGAAATAAGATATCCGCAAATTTAGGAACTGTGCCAAGAACAGCTAATTTAAAAATTCAAGTAGAACCATGAAACGTAAACCTCTCCCCATTTTTAAGCCGAAAAGCAACCATACGTCGCAAATAAAATTAAAGGTAAACTTAAATTAAATTAGCTAAATTAACTAAGGTAAAGTAAAATAAACTAAACTAGCTATACTAAAACACTAATCTTAAGTAAACTATAACTAAAGTAAAAGTAATAAAACTACATCGTAGACTAAAAAAGTAACTCGACTAAGCTAAAAAGCTAACAAAAAGTAAATTTCAGTAAATTGAAATTAAGTAAACTGACCTAACAAAATCTTTAACTAACTCAACTGCACTAAAACTAAACCAAAACTAATAAAAATAAAAGAAAACACAGGACGCTAATGGTTTTCGTGTGGGGAGTGCAAGGGGTTGCTTAATGCTGCGTATGTACACGCAAAAACAGACTTACTACAAATAACTAAGCAATAAGTAAGGTGTAGTAAATGGTGCGGTGATCCGTATACTGAATCCTCACCCGCACATCTCTCACGGTCCTTCAAGAAGTATCTGCACTTGCTTCTCTGCTTAAAATGACTTAGCTGACCCCCGGGAAAAACGCGAGAGAATGGATACCGATAATGCGGATGACTGTGCACTAAATTCCAGGGAGATAATGATTCCTCCAAGGCTAGGCTTGGGTTGGTTGGGTCTAAGATAACGTTGTCAGAAGGGTTAAGTTTTCTCCAAAAAACGCTTTTGCTAGCCATTTAAAACAGGTGGCTTTTGCGCCAACATACCAGTGTTCAGTGAGTTGCGCTCATTGTTTGATTTAAGTGTTCGATAAGACTTTATGTTGGGGCCACTCCTGACTGGGATTAATAAGAAAAGTACTTTGACATGTACCGTAAGCCGACGTTCCGCCCACTTCTTTGATGCTTTTAAGCAATAGGAAGTACTTCAATAGTTTTCTCGGTCTAGATGCTTCGGTTTCAGTCTTTTATGTCCTTCTCGAAACCATTTTACTTACACTTTCACTTCATTGAAACAATCAGAAATGTTTTCTATTT